ACATTTCAAGTACCTCTCTAACGAATTTAATAATTAACTTTTACTAGTACTTTTACTAGTACTTTTAAAAGGTGAATAAGCTTAAGGGACTCAAAGAAAAAGTAAACACTGCACGCTGGAAAATTAAAGTCACTGAATGAAACACATCTTGAAAAATTCATAAGCCACCTATAAATATTTACCAATTATTAACTATAGGCCATTTAATAATTTTAAATTCAAGATAGAGACCGCACAATATATAAATAATTTATGGCGTTCGCAAGATATATTGAAAACGTTTTCGTCTTCTTTTTCCACAAACAAAGCACACATTTGCCAACATCAACAGCTGCTGTATTACCCTTAAATGTAATAACACCCATAAATGTAATAACACCCATAAATGTAATACCCACCATAAATGTAATAAAAATCAACCATAAATGTAATAACAACCATGAGTGTAATAACAGTCAACCATAAATGTAATAATCGACCCCACCATAAATCAATGTAATAAAATTAAACCATAAATGTAATAATCAAAACCCACCATAAACGTAATAAATAACCCCTCCAACCATAAATGTAACAAGTATTCCGGAGAGTCAAACAAAGTGTTCAATCAAAAATGAATAAATAAATAAATAAAATAAAAGATATACAAATTTGTTAGAATTACTATCGCTTCAATTTTATATTGCTACAATTTTATATTGCTACTATATTATTACTGTTATTAATATTCCGTTTTAATTATTATCATTATTATTATAATTATATATATTTTTTGTTGTTTGTACATAATTGCGTAACTCAGCTCATGGGCTGCGATAAAATTTTCAATAAAAATCTATCTAAAAACATCTAAATCTAAATGAATAAAGTAATACAAAAAATTCTTTATTCCTGAACAAGAGTTAGGGTTAGGGTTAGGGGAATGTTTTGTGTAAAATAGTGCTATCGGTGTGCAACATCCCAATTCCGATCAGTTGCTTTCATTTTCAGCACGGTTATAGTATTACCCCTTCTTAACACTAACCCTGAATGACAGACATGAGTGTACATGTATGTTGGGAATTGACGTACTGAGAAAAAGGTAAAGAAGTTATCCTCCAAGACAACAAGACATCCGGGCCTGGTTTACGACGCCTAGACGACGAAGGTAGGCCAAGAAATGGCAACTGTTCTCAAGGAGGAGTATGTTCTGTTGGTGAAAAAAATCCAAATAACAAGGCTACTCTACAATTAACTTTGCTCTGCAAAGGATTTAGCTTCCAGAAATTTTAAACTTTGATATCGTTTAGTCCTTGGCGGGCATTGTTTGCCTTAAATCTTCTCGAGGTAGATCGTTGCGTTCTAGCACGGAATTTGACTTAGATGCCTTCAGTCAATTTCAAGTGCAAATGCTAAATGTCTGAATCTGCGGTTCTACCCGGTAGGGTGAAACTAACCTACCTCACGACGGTCTAAACCCAGCTCACATTTCCTATTAGTGGGTGAACCATCCACCACTTGGCGAATTCTGCTTCGCAATGATAGGAAGCGTCGACTTTGTAGGATCAAAAAGCAACGTCGCTATGAGCGTTAATCGCTGCCACAAACTCATAAACACTAAAGGATTGACATCCCATGCTTTCACAGTTTGTATTTATACCGAAAATCAAAGTCAAGTGAGCATTTACCCTTTTGTTCTACATAAGACTTCCGTTCTCATTGAGTTCACCCTAGCACACCTTGCTTTATCAATTGACAGATGTCCTACCCCCGCCAAACACCCAACCTGACAGTGTCTTCGGCTCTGATTGGTCTGCAAAATAGAAGCCTTAAATCCTGAACGCAAAACTTTCTTCTCCACTTCATCCAATAAGTAAAATTGATCGCCTCCTTAAAGGGTTTTATTTGTGCTCGTTCCAATTACAAGACTTCTTGTCAGGCTCCCTCTCTACACAATACCTTACCATCAGCAGTTGAGATCACACGCAGTCTTTGGCCGTGTGAACCCTAAATCCAGGCTTGCCTTCCAATGGGATCCTCCTTAAAGGTTTTCAGTTGTGCACATTCCAAGACTTAGTAAAGCCATGTCTTGTTATTTCTTGTCAGGCTCCATCTCAATACATTACTATCAACAGAACTTTAAGATCACACGCAGTCTTTCACAAGCAGTCTTTGGCCGAAACCAAAATCCAGACTTTGCCTTCTTTGCCCAACTTTCACAACGTCTCCCCGAACGCAGCACTAACATGCACGCGATGCAAGAGGCTTATACTATTCCCAAAGCCCGGCTCAGTACCAGGCACGGCGTTCATCCATGGGCCATAAGCTGTAAAGCTGTGCCTATCCATACCAGAACTTCACACTTACTTACCAATGTCGATGTCAGTGCAACTGCACTTCTCCAATACTTTTCCTTACGGATCTCCACAATGTAGCTCCTAAATATCCCAAGAAACCAACTCTTGTACTCGGCTTCAATGCGAGCTATGAAGCGTCTCTGCTATTTTTCTCGACGCCTTTCTCAAGCACCGTTTCCCCCCACATTAATACTCTTCGACATTCCAATCCCCTTATGTTACAAGGCAATATTTTTTTGTAATTACTATACCTTTATTCATTGTTTTGTGGGAAAATTATGCAAAACTTTTTTCCCACAGCGGGAATCGAACTCGGTCCACGGCGCCAAATCCTATCCAGTAGACCATGTGGGAATATGATAAATGTACGTTTACGATTGTGGTTTCTTGCCTTAATTTCAGCCTATGAAATAAGCCTTTTGCCTTCTAATATGCCAAATAAAAAGGCAAAAATGATAACAACACTAAAAAAAAAAAATTATTTTGAGGCAGAGTAAAACCTATGAGGAAAAAAAAAAAAAGCTGATGATTCGAAATAAAGGTAAGATACCACAATCGTAAAGGTACATTTATCGTATTTCCACATGGTCTAGTGGTTAGGACTTGGCGGTCTCACCGCTGTGGGCCGAGTTCGATTCCCGCTGTGGGAAAAAAGTTGTGCATAATTTCCCCACCAAACAATGAATAAAGGTATAGTAGTTACAAAAAAAATATTGCCTTGTAACATAAGGGGATTGGAATGTCGAAGAGTATTAATGTAGGGGGAAAAGGTGCTTGAAAAGCCTTTCGTAACAAAAAAAGGCAATAGCGACGCATAGGTCATCTCGAAGCGAGCACAAGAGTTTGTCTCGAGGGATGTACAGCGGTTGTGAAGCCGGAGTTACGAAAGGAATGCAATGTTTTTTAGAATCGGTTGGGCCAATATCGTCGTTGGCCAAACTTAGCCTTTCTTTGGTGGAGAGAGG